GAGAGAGAGAGAGAGAGAGAGAGAGAGAGAAATTTTTTAATATTTATTAGTTCTCGACAGACGCAACATCTTTGTTGGTATGTGGTGCTGGGGATCGAACCCGGGCCGCACACATGCCAGACAAGCGCGCTACCACCTGAGCCACATTCCCAGCCCTCACATCTTTGATGGGGTGCTCATACTTGGTAACACAGTCCACTGCATAATGATCTCTAAGCAAGTCTAGTAGTGTACACTGCTCTCAACTCGATGAACCTAGCATCTCAGAAAGGTTTAGGGATGAACTCAGTACCTTCAACATAGAAAAATGACTAGTAAAACTAAGGAATCAGTCAGGGTCCTCCTAGCCCAGTTGCTTTTGACTCACCCATTGGCCAAGCACCAAACTGAGCTGTAATGTTGCAAAATGAGCTAACCTGTGAGTTTGCAGACTATAACTGCTAGAAGGAACAGAAATATGCTCATTAGACAGCAAAGTAGTCAGAAATCTAATTATTGGTCAGTGGAAAAAAAAATCAGTCTTCCCACAAACTCATCTTTAGCAAATAAAATTCAGTGGGGGATGTTACAGAGATCAAATATGAAGAAGCTGAAAGAAGATCCCTGCTTGCCACCCAGTGATAGGTACAAAGAATGGAACTGCAAGTCAAACAACCCACCTCTCCAAGTACCACACTTCTTCCCACACAGGGACTCAAAGTGGGACTCAGGAGAGCTGGGCATGCACTTGTGACCAATCAGCCAGCAGAAATTTTACATGGATAAATCTGGATTTGGTCAGATAATCAGGCTTAAAATGTCAGGAAAAAGCCCACAACTTTCCAATCAACTCTACTCCATCTCCCTACTGAACACGCCAAGATCACTTAAGAAGCAGGACTGTAACAGTTACACATTAAGCTTCTCTTCAGAGATCAGAAAATGCTCTTGATCCTCGACTATCTAAGGTGGGCCAGGGGCAGGCGGGGTGAATCAGTAAAAAAAGTCATTCCACACAGGAAGGTAGTCTTCTAATTTATATTTTATTGCATTACGAAAATAATACATTTATTTGGCAAAGTAATCTAGGCTCCAAGTTGAAATAAAATTCTGAAGTGTACTGATTATTTCTTAAATGTGAAAGATGTATTCTAACCAATACATACTAGCATCCTTACGAGGCCAATAACCCAGTAAACCTAATTTTAATAATTCCATATGAAATTACAAGGTGTTTTTCCATTCATCCATTTTATGAGTAGCACAAATCTCCGGAGAACTGACCTTCGTTTTATCAAAATCAATCCATTTAAAAAACTCCTGCTCAGAAGACAATCTGAAGCACTACCCAAATGTTTATTTCCTTTGGTTCTGCAAGTTACATTTTCATCCTTACCATGTTACATTTTTTTCACAAATCAAACATTGCAGCAGCTTTAGATTCTGCCCAAGTACCTTTATAAGTGAACTAGTATATTACATTTACATTATTTGAGAAGTTGCTGATTTTACAAATGCATAAATACATGCCTATCTACACCAGCAAAATAAAATACTCTGAACCTCAATGCTTAACAGGCCACGCCATCCAGCCCTGTCCTTTGGGAGGCCTTTGCACACCAAATGCTTCTTACTCCCTGATGCGCAACTCCATCACTCAGGCTACACTCCTGAAAGGTGTAGATGCAGATAAGTACTAAGTGGATTAAATCTATCTAATAATCAACATTTAAAATATAACATCTTCACTAATTTCTGTTCTGCTATATTTCTGGAACTGAAAAGATATATTTTCCAAAAAATGTAAGAGAATTTTTGTTTTCACTTTTTAAAAGGGAAGAGTGATAAAAACACATTATATTTATATTGTCTTTCCTCCTTAGCATCTCCAAATTATTTTTACACATTGGGTTCAAAGACTAGAGCAACAGGTAAAGGATCTGTTCAAGGTCAAAAAATAAAATACCTTTAATCATTACTCAAGCCTTGCTTCTCCATTTCAACTTCCTGATAGCACTTTGTTCCATGTGTTAAGGAAATGAGCTGAAAAAAAAAAAAAACAGCCGTGCACCAGTCAGCCCGCTGCCCTCAGGCCTGACGTTCTCTGGTGCAGTTGTCAAAGTGCACATCTGTGGAGATTTACTTCCCAATGGCCACCAATATCTAAAGCCAGCTCAACTAGGTTCCCAATTCAATGACAGAAGTATTCCACCTATCCTAAAGAAGATACTCCATCAGCATTCCACAGTTATCTGTATAAACAGCAACAATTTTGATCTATGATCGACATGTGAACATCTAATAAATATTAAAACAATTAAAACTATAGATTAAAATGCAGATCCCTCATAGAGTTAAGTGATGTCATTTTGGTACATTCACCATTATTGTACTTTATTTAATAAAGAAATACATTTGCCCTTGCAAAAATAGCAATTGCAAGTTTACAAATAAAACCACAGACCTCAAAGTCATGATGCTAAATCTTCAACTTATAACGGACAAAAGTAAAGATTTGTTTACAAGTGGTCCATGGCACTATAATTAAAATAAAACATATCAAAAGGTCACAGGAGATTAAAGAATAGGTTTATTGACAATAATTTCATAAATATTCTAAAGAAAATTCCTAAATTTCTAAACTTAAAATGTTTAAAATCTGTTCTCATTGGCAAAATATCCCTCAACAAAATAAAGTAACAGGTCACTATGAATGAAAGTCACATTTAAAATTGCTTCATTTTAACATCATCGCAAAAAATTTTAAAAATTTACAACGTTTGATTCCCCCCTCTTATTACAGTAAATCAATATTCAGTTTTTAACTATCAGACATATTCATAAATATATCATCGAGCTGCTTGTGAACCTGTCAAGTCAGTCAGTAGTATATGCCCTACAAACATATGTGGCGTCCAATCATTTGGGTATTTTTTAGTCATAGCAATTTAAGTAGTCAAAATGCAAAACTTGTGGTTTCCCTCCAAATCACCCAAAGCATGAGATACAGTGTGAGAAATTGTTTGCATGTTTTTTATAAGTTCATCTGTGTACTTCAGGTATCTGAAACTAAAAAAAGGGATTCTTTTGTATTTTGATAAAAATGTACTCGAGTATTTCATAACATGAATATTTATTGCTTCATATGAATACTGTATTGAAAGCCCAAGCATTCGGTTTACACACAGAAATTATACAATTATATACCGCTTCACAAAGGCAGTGAACACATTACACTCTACAAAATCTACTTTACAGAAATTTAAAAATTCTAAATATCAAAAGGTACAGCTGAAGAAACAGGTATAAATTTGGCAGCCAGTAATTTTGACAGGGAAGTTGCAGCTTGCATGACTTTAAATATGTGAATTTGAAAATATTGAGTTTAGAGTAATCATTGTGCTTTGTGTTGATCTGAAAAATATAATACTGGCTGTCGAAGAAGCATGTTCAAAAATATTAATTCACTTCAAAATGTCATACAAATTATGGTGGTTTCTATGCACCCCCTAAAGCTTCAGTCATTTTAGCTCAGGTACATTACTAAAGTAATATATTAATTCTTCCAGTACAGTGGTGTTTCATACCATTGACATTTGCATACTCTAGAATAATTTAGAAAGTAATGTGTAATATTCACAATGTTCAGAAAAGCAAGCAAAAGTTTAAGGAACCTGCCTGGTTCTTCTGAGATGGGCTCGTGTCAGCTTCATAAGCATTTACTCAGGAGAACAGTCAGCTGATGTGTGAACACAATTCCCAAGATAAAGCACATTTTCTCATAAATAATGAAGTCTTTTATCAGGCACCTCTGAAGTATACAAAAGAATTCTAGTTTGAACAGATCTCTTGGAATGTGTTTAACCTGGTATTACAACAGACTTAGATTTCCAGGGTTTCACAGGGCCAGATTTTATGTGAATTACTCAGAAGAGAAAGAAAATGTCTCGTGAAAGAGGTGAACTCAATCATCACCAATAGAAAATTATCCACTGTATTCATCTCTTATAGAAACAGAAAAATATAACATTTCCCCCCTTAGAATTATATATATATGTATATATATATATATATATGTATGTATATATGACTTAAAGTTCCATTGTACATAGTCAACCAATAAAACCTGGAAACCAGCATGAAACCCTATAATTCACATGTTAAAATGTTGAAACTATGACCAAAATATGAAATCTGCTACAGCTGTCAGAAAGAGACAAGATGTAAAGCTTTCTTGCACATGTATAAACTAAATGTGATAATCTTGAAAGGTTTTCAAAATTGTAATTATAATGTTCCAGTTTAAAAACTTCTAAATTAAAAAAAAAAAAATCTATACACAAACCACTGATTTGACCAGACACCAAAAAAAAAAAAAAAAGCAAAGAGAGAAAAAAAAAGTCAAAAACAACAACAGAAAAATCCCCCAAAACAAAAACAAAAAATAGATAGCGGTAAGCAGGACCCAGAGGAGCTGCTATTCACAGTTCTTACATGTACAACTCTTTCAGGATTCACACTTAAAGTACTTTTTAAAGTACTTTAACAACCTGCTTCTCTTTCTCTTGTAAAACTAAAGGTCCACTTTATTACATAAAAGTTTTATACAGTGTAAAACCAGAACTGTATGTAAAATACGGCATCTAAATGTGGTGAAGTAGTCAGTCTTGCTCCATTGGTTCCTCAGGGACTTCGGTGGCGTCCTCGTCATTTTCCATGGAGGATTCTGAGAGAACCTCTCCAGTTTTACTGGAACTGGATCCTACTGATTCTTCTGTCTGGTGGCAGTCAGAACCACTACTTACAGGGCCCGGGGTGTCACTCCCTTCAGAATGTAAATCCTTCTCAGCTTGAGACACAGCCGATTCCTCCACCTGACTCTTCTCCTCAGAGGTCTCCTCGTTCACAGTTAAGGCATCATCAGGTTCTTTCTCTTGATTTTTTCTTTCTGGCATCATTTCTCTTGATGTCATAAAAGACTCTAAAAATAAGCAAATGTTGTTGTAGTTAAATGTATTTTCAAAATACGTCCACAGTCTCGTGTCATGAATTCTGATATTCTACAGTCAAATAATTTCCCCTCAAACTCAGCAGCAAGCACACACAGGGGCCAACATCAGCACTGTAAGGAGTTCCATTATGTTAAATTCTTTCACGAAAAACAAGAAAGCACACCCTTCTACAGATGTCTCTAAATACCTTCTTCTTCCTCCTCCTCCTCCTCCTCCTCCTCTTCTGTGCAGTGCTGCTGGGTACGACTACTTCCTTTGTCCTTGTCCTGAGATGATGATGGTGCCTCCGCGTCCTCCGCCAGGACCGAGGCCCCCTCACTGGACGTGGTCTGACTGGCTGTCTCTCTGACTTCCCCGTCTCTGTCAAACCTGAGTCTTTTGGCCTCATGCCCTTCAGCCTCCACGGCGTCGTCATCTGAATGTTTGTTTTTTATAGGACTCACTGAAGACCCTTCTGATTCAGATGCTGGAGAGTCACTGAAAATGTTGTTTTAAAGTGTCGTTAATACTATTTTCCTCAACTTCTACATTCTTTTAAATTGTATTTTAGTGCCAAAGTTACACTGTCATATCTGTTTGAAGAAAAACATTAGAGAATAATTTCAAGGCAACGTAACTGTTCCATGAATGTTTCTCATTAGTGCCGAGTCACCAAGTTAGTGCCACTTTTCTGGGCATTTCCCAGTAAGTTAAATACCGTTACCCTGAAACTAGAGGTCCCCCAGATTTACACACTCAAGACCTCTCACTTAGTCTTCTTTCCCCTTAATGTGACAGAGAAACTCTGAAGTAAAATAAAAAGTTCCCTTTCATAACCCATACTAAGAAACTACTCAGAATTTCAATTTCTTTTCTCAAGTAACTTTTGAAAAAAAGACAAAAACTGAATCATGACTACTTTACTCTCTTGGGACAGAACCTATGTGCGATAATCTCCCCCAAATCAGCTGTTTTAATAAGTCTTTTGTCTACCTTACTCTGTGTTAAAGAGAGCCAAAGATCCTACCACAAAACTGCAACCCTGCCTGCCCTCGGTGTGTGCGGAGCCCTGGCTCAACATGGCACACCTGTCTGCACAGCACCACACATGTCCTCCCCAGGGCTCGACAGCTCCAGTCACTCGCAACTCTGACACAGTGCGAGTCCAGGTAACACCTGTTCTGCTCTACAGGAAGGGGAGAGAGTCTACACATGCTTACTACTGACATACTATTTATTTTCCCAAATATTCTTTTTAAAAATATTTTTATTTTTTAGTTGAAGGTGGCCACAATACCTTTATTTTTATGTGGTGCTGAGGATCGAACCCAGTGCCCCACACATGCTAGGCAAGCACTCTTCCTCTGAGCCACACCCCAGCCCTCCCAAATAGTCTTGATCCTTGGTTGGCTGGATCCACAAATGTGGAGCCCACAGGTGGGAAAAGCCGACTGTACACTGTGAATGGTAACTGGGTCCTGAAAACCATCAATAAACGTTAATGTCTGGTGAAAACAGCCTTCTGTTTTTAAACATAGAGCACACACAAACCTGTGGTTTTTTTCTTCATTATGTGGTGAGTTTGACTCTTTGCTGTCACTGCTCTCAGGCAAACCATTGGTTGTCAAGGGGGCGGATAAAGACACCTTTGGTCGATTCAGTGGCCGGGGTGTTCCAGGCCCATTTATATTAGACCTGTAAGACACACCACCATCATTTCCCCCTTTTGTAAAAAGCCATCCCCCTCCCAAAGGACATTCATAAGAACACATCACAAATTCGTTTTTACAAATTCAGTGAAGCACATCCTATATCCTCCATAAAACATCCAATTTTAAAAAGTACACAGAGTCTGCTATTCAAATTCAGGAAAATGCAAGCTCAAGTATATAAAAATTGTTAGTCTCACCTATCAGTGTAGCTTGGTGAATTTCCAGGGAACATAACACCATTCATTCTATTTAAACTGTTTGAATTGTTTTTCCTACAAGAAAAAAAAAATTTTTTTTATAAGAACTCTGGGTCTGAAAGGTCTTGTAGGTTTTTAACTGCCACACACCCAGACTTCTGTGGGAACCAATATAAACACACACTGATGAATGTAGGGATCCTGCTAACAGTGAAGGAGACTTTACACAGTTGCCACCCAAGAAAGCAGAAGCAGCTGAGGTCGAACCAACGGTCCTCAGAGGGGGCCACCCTCCCCAACTACCACAGGTGTTGGTGTGGGAAGCATGGACACTTCTGGCCTCAGTGGACAGAGACCAGAGATACTTAAACCTGCAGTTCTCAGGACACCTATGTATAACTAAAACTATCTGGTCCCAAGCTCAGTAATGCCAAGATTGAGGAAATGTACCCTAAACCAAGTCTTTGCTTCAGGGTATGAATGGCAACAATAACAAATTCTTCTTCGCCTGAAGAGGAATGCCATCCAGTGTCTGCTTCAAACCTAGGAGTCATGCCTTACAAAGGCATCAAGGGGCTCTGGTGCCACATAACATCAGCAATATGAGAATCACAGAAGACCACCCATCTCTTTACTTGTAATATTATTGGTCACAGTCTACTCTGGGGACTAGGTAAGAGGTTCATAATAAAAAAAAGTCAGTATTTTAATAATGTACTAAAACATAACAACATTAAAATTAGAAAAAAAACTATACTTACTCTGAAGAAGGATAAACACAGCTAACAACCATCACATTCTGCAATAACAAAAATTGTTGATTTAATGAGAGAAAAGAAATACAATATAAAGGTTTAATAATTTGTTTCTAACTTCTCAAAATCACTCTTAGTGGGCTGTTTCCAATAATTCCAGTGTGCTAATAAAAGACAATAAATGGTTAAAAATGAAAACTGATAACAAGAAACTAGTCTTGCCCTTTTCTGAAGACACTCAAGAGCCACCTACTTAGGGCACGTGTAATGACTTTCCTCATAAAGCAATACCCAATCCAGAGTCACTTTTTTTCATTGCTGTTTTTATTTTTTTTGTACTTACTTTTATGGTCCTAAGGATGGAACCCAAGGTCAACTAACCACTGAACTACACCCCCAGTCCATATATATATATATATATATGTATATATTTTTTTAAACTTCGAGCCAGAGTGTCACTAAGTTGCTAAGAAGGCTGGCCTGGAAAATTGAGATCCTTCTGCCGCAACTGCCAATTTGCTGGAATCATACACATGAGCCACCACACCCAGCCACCAATATATCCCAAGGAAAGAAACCTGAACCTCTCTTTTTTGGGCAATATGCTTAAAAGAGTAAGTGCTTCTCAGCCCTATAATTCAAATACCACAAAGGAGAAAACCAAGAAAGTGAAGTACCTCGCCCAAGGTCACACAATTATGAACTACTGCAGCCTTAATGTGAAGGCAGGGCACCCCCCGACCCCGTAAGGTTACTGTGACATCAAGGCCCTTGAGTTGGAAAATAAGTACTTATGAACCACTGTGGTTTCCTGCTGTTTGGGAATCTTACTCAATTGAGGGCGTAAAGGTTCCACAAAACATTAGCTCAATAAGGGTCCTAAGAACTATTACAAGCCACTATACTGGTTCTGGATTACGATTTCCAGGGTCAAATACATTGATTCTGCCCCTCTCTCTACTCAATACTTAATTTCAAAGATTTCTACACCAACTTACAATTCTACAAGTTGTGAAACAGAGTACTCTAACATTAAAGTTATATATTAGAGTGGGACGCGGTGGCGTACATCTGTAATCCCACTGGCTTGGGGGGCTAAGACAAGGGGATCTTGAGTTCAAAGCCACCTCAACATCTTAAAGGTCATTTGTGACAAACCAAAAGCCAACAGCATAGCAAAAGGAGAAAAGCTAAATACCTAATCTCCAGCTGGAAGCAGTGGTGCACACCTGTAATCCCAGCAGTTTGGGAGGTTGATTTAGGAGGATTTTGAGTTCAAAGCCAGCCTCAGCAACTTAGTGAGGTGCTAAGCAACTCAGTGAGACCCTGTCTCTAATAAAATATAAAACAGGGCTGGGGATGTGGCTCAGTGATCAAGTGACCCCTAGTTCAATCCTTGATACCTACCCGCCTCCAAAAAGTTACATATCATCTGTGGAGCTTTTCAGAACATTAATATGTTGATACATACAATGAGTATCTAAGATAATAAGCTGCTCTTTCCATTCCTAAAAATCAGCATTTCAGGTCCTCCTCTGCCCCTTCCCATAGATCTTTTCCCAAACACAGAATATCATTTGGAAAAAAAAAAAAAATTGGAAAAAACTCAAGATAGACTAGAAAACTCTGAAGAAAAGGTGCCTGAAAAAGATCTTACCCAATGTTCTTTTCTGAAATCTATTAGGCTTCAGTTTAACATAATTCCCATAATTAAAATAAATACCTTTTCTACTCCTCTGAGAAATTTGTCTGTTCCTGTATAGTTTCTCCTTGGATCTGTTAGCAATTCACATAGTCGCTGAATAGTAAAAGGGATACTGCAAAAGAATATAATTTTATAGATTGAGGTCATCAGTTACCAAAAAACAAGGAACAATACTTATTTTGGTAGCTAAAGCTTTGAGTCACTCATGTTAAGCTACAAAGGGAAATGATGAGTCATTTATAAGTAAACAATAAGCACACCTGTTCTATACTTTCTATACTTTAATACAAAATCATGTTACAATTTATTTACATACAGAAACTTTTCCTCATTCCCCTGCTACGAAGTTTGAAAAAATTATCAATGATTTAATACTAGATAGACTAATAAAACACATCATTCCAATGAAAAAGTATTTTAAATATGATTCTGCTCAATGTTACAAGCTTACATAAACCTACATGTTTAATCGCTTAAAGTATACACAAACATACTCAGTATTTTGTTAAGAACCACAGTTAACCACTAAATGCTTTCACAATACATTTTTCACTTGATCACAGCAAATATAAAACTGTCATAACATGGAGCCAGAATCATTTTATAAACATCAAGTTTGAGCTCACATTTACTTCTAGTATTCATCAGAATTACAACTGAACAGCAGAATGGCGAGGACTAGAAATGACAGATAGGGCTATAAAGTACAAACACACATCTCTGGACTTCAGTATTTGCCATACACATCTATTCATTCTCTTTGGAGGAAAAAACCCACAAAAGCCTCAAATGAATAATCAACATTCACGATGTCATTTACTTCTCCCAGGCAGTTTGACCAAGGATTCCCGTCAAGGTAATGCAGCTAGTGAGAAGTAACGGTAGGACTCAAATCTTGCTGCCCTCATGTCCAGTCCTACATCTTTTTCACCGTACCACATATATTTAAAAAATAAAAGTGTTTATTTTCTAACTGCATAAACTATACTCGGTTCTCATATTCTTAGCATCATTTTTTATGTTTTCTGTATATTTAATTTATAATAAATTTTGAAAAATAAATGTTATTCATAGGAAAACAATGTATCAGTTATCTGGTTAAGTCCAAGAATCAGTCTTTTCACTCAATTAGCATTCAAACCTGACCCAGAGGAAAGGGTACAAAGTAAAAGATTAACTATTTTCCTGATATCAAAAATATCTAGAAGCAACTAGAAATACAGAAATGTAACACTAATAATTAGCATTAATTTATTACTATTAATAATTGGTATTATTAACATTAAATTCATTTGTCACTGGTAGAAGAAATTTCTCAGAGTTTCTGACAATATTCTGAAATCTCTTTTGCAAATCTACTCAGGGTTAAGTACACTAAAGAATCTTTTAAAATGGAGAAGTACAAAGCACATCAATAGCCTTACTAAGAACCAATCAGTAACTTTTCACATCTTTTTTTGTCCATTCCTATCAACACAAACTACAATTACAAATCTATAGTTAATACAAAAAAAGCAACAACACCAATAAAAAATTTTTAAACATTTTTCCCAAGCTACATATAAAAACAAACATCAGTTCCTCAATTGTCTGTCTCTTCTTGTACTCATTCGGCTAAAAGCCTAAGGACGGCCCTCGTACTAAACATTACTATCATCAATAAGAAATTTATCTGTAGATGAAAGGCACTATCAGAATTTCCAAGTATTAGAGGTATATACCTGTTCGTTAGCCCCTCTTCTGTATCACTGCTTTTAAAACTTTAAATACATGTAACACCACACCTAAGCTATTCTCACTATTTACAGTAATATTATAATGAAGAGGGTTTATATATTATTTGAAATATGAAGAATAGCACCAAATGGAGCTTTGGTTGGTACTTAACCAACACATAATTTAATATTATCCAATTAAAATTCTTTCCTATACCATATTCCCATTCTTTCCTGAGGTATTTTCTCTTAAATAAGTCTGTGTGAATATGCCATGGTGGCAGCAGCAGCCTGGGATCAAGTGGGCTGGTACTGCTTTACCCAGTTTCCAACAGATGGCACTGGCACACCAAGCAGTACTCTTCCTCACCCAGACTGGTTGGACACAAACTCACATTTCTTATAAATATTTCAGCCCTAGGAATATTAAAACAAAATGCACTGAAGTCTCATGTTACATACAGTTTGTACTTTTTAATGTATCCTATAAATATAAAGGCCACTACAAACCAGAAACACCACATGGCTCTACAGTAGAACATGTAAGTAATCAGACTGATGATGATAATTGCTAATCAAGTTCGTACACACTGCTATGGAATAAACTGCATGCCAGGAGAACTTGGACAAACCTGGGAACAGTTAATCCAAGGAAGGCCATTAAAAGATGTAAAAATGCACACACACCATGGCAGTATGAAAGGTGCATTTTCTCTGACTTGCAGTAAAAAGCATATGGAAACGCTAAGTCTTCTCCTAATAAAAACCACTAGTTAAAAAGACACATGAGCTCAGAAAAATAAAGAGCAAAAATTGGGTTGGGTGCTGTCTGAAAACATGCATGCCACTCCTTCTCAATAAAGTATGAAGCAGAAGCCTAGAATGGGAGTGGACAGGGAAAGGACGTTCACTAGCAAAGGTGTAAAGTAACTTACTTCAAAGAAAATACTTAGGGTTATTTAAAATGAAATCTAGTCAATTTCTTCTGCAATGATATGTTGGCTTATCTGCTAATAGGAAGATGAAAAACTGGGTGCGTATAAATCTGAAAAATTTGCATGACTAGCTAACATTTCAACTTATATTCTTATTTTATATGTGCGTGTGAGTGTGTGTATATATATATATATATATATACACATACATACATACATACCTACATAAGTCAATAAAACATTTTTTTTAAAAGTCAGTAAGTAAAGGATCCAAAAAGAAATGAGTTCTCAAATGGCGTTACTCAGAACTGCTATAGGAAAACCGTTGAGCAGTTTACTTTCAACGTACAAAGTATAAAGTAGGTTTAAAAACAAACAATAACCTGCCAGTCCAAGGTGAATTTTCCTCTAAGTGTTCGTGTTCTTCTGGGAAACAGGGACTACTAAATGCTCTTATGTAATGATCATGAGGCCCAAGTATTACATGACATATGCAAGTCATTTAACAATGCCTAAAATATCTTAGAAAGTGCTCAGTAAATAAATCTTGGTGCTATCATAACCCTGATCCCATTCACATCTAATGAAGACTGGAGGAAGGCACAAATTGTCCAAAGACCAACTGGGAAAGAATAAAGCCCAAAGCAGAACTGTTTTATAATTTCAAGAAAAGCAACTACCATTACGAAACCAGACCATGCTTTTTATGTTAGTTATATATTTTCATTTGAATTCATTGTCCCCATTTATTTAATACACAGACCCAAGCCTCATATATCTAAAAGCTTTGGAAATGCTCACTCCACAAAGCTGTTAAACATCAGAGAACCATACCTAAGCATGAAGTAGCAACTCAGTGCTGTTTTTCAAAAAGAGAAATTCTAGGGGTTGGGATGTACCTCAGGGGTAGAGAGCTTGTCTAGCAAGGGCAAAGCTCTTGGGTTTGATGCCTTAGTACTATAAAACAAAACATGTAATAAAGACCAGGAAAAGATAAATTTTAAACAATGAGGCTAAACACCCCTTAAACATATTATTCCTTGTTAAATTTTAACCTGAGAATATAATTTGACTAAATTTATCTTAAGCTGTTTGATGTTTTTATTACTTACTATAAAAATATGTAAATTATCTGATTATATATCAAGGAATTCAACTGGAAAGAAGAAAAAAGAAAATGCACATCTTATTCAGGGTCTAAGATAAATCAGGCAAACTTTTGGTGCAACTTTACTCACACAGAAAATAAAAATAAAGGAACATAAAATATAACACAGAGTAAAAATTTACAAACATATTCTGACTAGTCTAACATTGGAACTTAACTATTCAAGTAGAAACTAACTCAAATATCCCTGTTATCAAAAGCTTACGAAGCCCCCTATTAGGGGGCTGGGGTTATGGCTCAGTGGTAGAACACTTGCTCAGCATGTGTGAGGCACTGGGTTCGATTCTCAGCACCACATATAAATAAATAAAAGTCCATCAACAATTACTAAAATATTTTTTAAAAATAGCTTCATAGGTTTACAGTTGTATTTATTCTTAAGTCACAGAAGTCAAAAAGCTGGGAACCCTTTAATGCTATCTCTACTTGAACAATATGCTCTTTGTGTACCAAGGTACAGAACATGAACACACACACACACACACACACTCATACACAAGTATTTTACAATTCAAACCAAATATCAAGAATTCTGAGACTCACTTAAATGTCATCATGTAAGGACAAGTATAAAAGATCTAAGAAAATGAAGGCTGGGATTTTGTCAATAATTGGAAGCAATCCCAATGTTGCAAATCAACTGCATCATTCCATGCCCCAAAACTAATCTATGGTACTGTCCAAGTTTTTAATCACGTACACCATCTCTCAAAAATGCCTGCAATATTCTAAATTATTATTTCATTTGGATTAAATATAAATGAAAGTTAATTAGTTTTCTGCTAATTCCTGCTTTTCAATTTTGAGAATTTTATTAGATGGGCTAGGGCTGTGTAATTCAGTGGTAGTGCGCTTGTCAGCAGGCACCAGAGCCTAAGTCCAGTCCCAGCCCTTCAAGAAAGTAACTACTAGAGAGAGTACCACACATCAAGAAAGGAGGAATGGATGCTAGATAATGCCAATTCTTAACCAATTACACAAGAAAGAAACGAGTCAAAGCAGTCAGAAAACAAAGGAATGAAAGGCTAAGGACCATTCTCTCAGTCCCTGAGAAATCCACAGCTGACTCCAAGACAAACATAAAAAACTCAGAAAAACTATGTTTTAAATCTGTAATTCATAAAGTTGGAAATCGAGTGAGTGAGTGTGTGTGTGTGTGTGTGTGTGTGTGTGTGTGTGTGTGTATGAGAGAGAGAGAGAGAGAGACAGACAGACAGACACATGCTGGGGACTGAATGCAGGGCCTTGTGAAAGTGAGGCAAGCACTCTACCAACTGAGCTCTAGCCTCAGCCCTGTTCTTTTAAAAGTTCAAAGTGGCACCTCTTGGGCACAGAAACTCCCAAGACACTCACAGGTATGAGCACACACGTAAACCAATCATGGAAATGATGTTCAGCGCCAAGTCAACTCTGGCTGATCATGAACATTAGAATAACTAGAAAAGAAATCTGGAAGTCGACTGGACAAACATGCTAGGCAACTTTCCCACACTCTCCTAAACACACAGCGACACCATTTTTGTTTGCCACTCAGTTGAAACATTTTAGAAAGAACAGCTGAAAGAATAGTGTCAACTGAGAGCAGGATTTAACAGGTTAACTCACATTCATCATTCTCCCTTCCAAATAACTTGAAGATCGTAAAATGGTTTAACTACCAGGACTGTGAGTTACTTTCTCTACCCTTCAAAAACCCTTTCTGAACCATTAGCTACCAGCAGTTAGTTCCTAAATTACACTCATGATGTCTGAGGGGAAGATTTTCAGGGGGCGTGGCCTTGGTCTGAGTCAATGGATGCCCTCTCTTCCTCCTCATTCCTCCAAGTAGAGGGCATAAAGAGGCAATAAAGATCTTGTAACTGACCATTCTAGTAAAAATGTTCATTTTGTTTATTTTAATTTTTGGTGTTTCTTGCCTAAAAAGAAGTAACTTCAGTTCTGGGGAGTAGCTATAATCCATCTTTTCCTATAAAATTTCAAAGTTGAAAAGTAATTGGAGGAGGGGCGACTGGGGATTGAACCCAGGGGCACTCGACCACTGACTGACCCACATCCCCAGCCCTATTTTGTATTTTATTTAGCCTCACTGAGTAGCTTAGCGCCTCGCCTTTGCTGAAACTGGCTTTGATCCTCCTGCTTCCCAAGCTCCTAGGATTATACACTTGCATCACCACACCCAGTTTCAAAAGTATTTTAAAAGGACAAAACAATGACTTTAAAATTAAAAGAACTTAAGCATTTGTTTGTATAATTATTCAATGTCCTACAAAACCAAATACAAACAGAAACCCTTCCTTCCTATACCTATCTGTTGAGTCAGGACTAGGCTTGGGTACTCACTCTCCCAGGCCTCCCCTGGAAGGTGCTGCCCCCTTCCTCCAGGAACCTACCACACCAGCAAACAGGAAATTGGAAAACCTACCGGCTAAGATGAAAAAATTTTTATCTGACACTGTACTAAAGTAATTTTGGATAATGGATAAGCTTTTTGTGGCCAAATACTATGAAGAATTTAATATAGTGCCTTTACAAACTAAAGGCAAAAACAAAACAATAAAACAAACTTAAAAATAAGAATCAGCAAAAGAAAAAAGGGATTATAAAAGAGCAACCAGCACATAAAAAGGTAGTTACACCTACAACCAAAGAAACAAGTACAAAAACATACCCAGAATTCCAATATCTGCATTTAATACTCATGGAAGCATCAATGAACACATTGTGAGGTAGAGTACTTAGAGTACTCAAGAGTTTCTTAGAGTACTAAGAAAAACTTCTAAAATTTTAATTTATTATATATGACAACAGGATGCATTACAATTCATATTACACATATAGCGCATAAGTCTTCATGCCTCTGGTTGTACACAAAGTAGAGTCACATCCTTCGTGTCTTCAAACATGTACTTAGGGTAATGATGACCATGGCATTCCAATCTTTCCTCCCCTTTCCCCCCTAGAGTTCATTTAATCCTCCCATCCCCCCTCCCTGCAGCATATTATGAATTAGCATCCTTTAATCAGAAAAATCACTCAGCATTTGTTTTGGGGGATTGGCTAATTTTACTTAGCACTATATTCTCCAGCTCCATCTACTCACCTGCAAATGCCATGATTTTCCTGATAAATTAAATTTTAATTGAGTATATGATCTTATCTAACAATTATAATATAAGTCACAAATACCAATAATCATGTAGATATATTCAGTACATGACATTCACCAACAAAAGACATGAATAAGAATGTTCACTGTAAGCACTGCTCATTAAGGTCAAAATATAAATGCCCACCACCAACAGGGACGGGGTGAGTAAACTGTGGCCTTGTTGCTATGAGGGAAAACAATGCAGTCCCTTCAATTAAGTACACAGAAGTTGTACTGATTATAAAGAAGACAGCAAAACTCTTTCAAAAGGAAACTACAACTAGCATGTAACATGATTTCATTAGATTCTTTTCTTTGGGTATCTACTTCTACGACATTGGGGATCTATTGAAAAGTATGAACATATACCACTTCTGTGATTTCAAACTTAACCTATTACAAATACAAAGGACACCCTCAAAGTGGTTTAAAAAGAACCAAATGTTTCTTAAGTATTTTTTAAAAAATTAATTTATAAGTTAAATTAAATTGAAAAGATTATAGACATGTTTTAACATAACAAAAAGTAAATATAAAGTGACAGTTCCTAGCCTATTACTGATTAAGACTTAATTTCTACTTGATTAGGGTAAACTGTCTTCCTGAAAAAAAGAATTTAAAAAATTTAGGTTCAAAATACTCAGATGAAAAAAGTTTTAAAAGCAATTATGTTTAAGTATGCTTAGGCATTTAATGACTGTTCAAATCATTTTCTGAAGAAGATGAACTGCTTGTTTTACAACTAAGAAACTATAAATATTTAGATTACTGAATAATCTACATACGGCATCTCATCCAACTTCATTTTAAAGTATTAAAAATGATATCTGCTATTACCAATTCAGAATCACAAGTAAATGAACTTAGTATTCACGAAGCTGTGGTATAATTTGACTTGTTTCACTTTACATCTTATTCATAGTAGCCACAATTTACTCAAAAGAAAAGTCACTATAATGTCTAAATACTTTTTATTTGTATTTACAAATATCTCAAAAATATTCTTATCTTGAACACATTACAGTTCAATAATACATCTCATGCAACGTATCTAATACATAGGATATGGCTTCTTCTAGATATGTACTTTTAAGAAAAAACAGTTTTAATTCAAACTGGTAAGGAAACACATGATTACACAATTTCAACAGGACATAAGGGTGCTCAGCCTCAGCCCTGAGGCAAAGGCTAGACCATGAACCTCAAAGACAAAGCCATGACACCTGCTAGTCCCAAAGTCAATGCATAAGCATCAGACATTTAAAGCAAGATTCCTACAACTTAAAAAATTAAGTTACATGACATTTAGTCAAAAAAATTACACTCTCTTACTTGAAATTCCATGTAATTCAAGCTATTTATGTTATCTAAAATTACAATCAAAACCATTCAAATAAAACCTACCTCTAAATCATTTAATGGTTAGCAGAAATACAATTTATTACACTTAGTATTGTCATTCCACATTCCACCTTGTTCACATCAGACAAAATACAGCACAATTCAAATTAACATACACTTCCTCCCCTCAATAAAGGAAAACCTGAAAATATGAAGTTCTAAAAGGAAAGAATTTAAAATGACAGAATATGAGACTCAGCATTATTTTTAAAAAGATCACCTTTATTTTAGTGCCGTGTTTTTAATGTTTTACAAAAGACTAAAACTGGTTACTTGCTAGGAAACAGAAAGGACTCAAAAATTACCAAATAAAAACTGATAAGTAGAATAATTTTATAAATTGGTATTTTTCATTTTTTAAAAATGTGGCTTCTCTTAATGATACACAAGTTCTGTACTATGTATACAGACTTTTAATTCCAAATATTCTATGGTAAAGAAAAAAACATGAAACCATTTCCTGATAAATAAATATTTCCATTGTGTTATACCTAATTAACTAATATTCATTAAAAAATTGGTTAAAAAATATTTTAAGGCTGTAAGCATTTTCAGTACCTATAAGCTAAAAATCCCCAACTACTTACTATCAGTTGCTAGAGACATAGAATTCTAATATATAATCAATTATAAAATTATGACATATCAAAACTAGAAGAAAAAAATTAAGTCCTGCTAAAAATGAAACCTTTAAAATAATATTAAGTGCATACCCATTAAATCCAGTGACAATTTTCAGAATTCTTTCCTTCATTTCATCAAAGGGAATATATTCGACATTAGGATTAGGAGGACCTCTTGGTTCAGGAGCTGAAGTTCTGAAATCATCCATCACTTTCTCCAGTTTGAAAATAAAATAGCCTTTAAATTGAGACCATTGAATCCTATAAGCAAAACAGGAAACAAAATATATAACACCATGTAACTTCAAAATTCTTGGAGTGCAAAGCATAAACCCAGAATACACTAACTGAATGAAATTCAAATGTAAGTATTACTGGGAATGACTTTGCTCAAAAGCATGCACCAAGCATGATCAACATGCTCACAAGCTCAAATCCTATTCTATACAATTCCCCAACTCCTCTGACCAAACAAAACCAAAATCTGTGTAAGAATTTTGAAATGCACTAACTCTGGAAGAAAGCCAACAGGGTGCTAGGTTTTTTGAGTATTTGAACAGTTTGATTTTGACTCTCCCAAAACAAAAGCAAGCAGGGAGGTACAACTACTCCACTTAAGACAGGTCAGAAAGTAATTTATACCATAATCTCACAGCATCCAACAATAATGCTCCCATGGACTATTAAGGTTTCTAGTCTTTAAACTGTTAAATAACAAGTTTTATTTTTTCATTTCTTTGTAGTGAATATTTTCAGGCTCATTTGTCATGATATATTTTTACATCATTGATATCCACTCACTCAGTGTGACTTAGTAAAAATACAATATTAACTTATATTGATTTTTTATTGTTAATATACAGAATTAACATAAGCACTTTTTAATTCTTTTCCCCCTCAAACTTCAATACTAAGAGGGAGTTTTATGGTGACTCCTGTATGAATACCTAAATCCCAGGGGATGCCAAGTCAGAGGTGTCCCTATTTCCCCAAGCAGACAGCACCACCATCAGCAGATCCATTTCTTACACTGATTACACAGAAGTAACGGCTACGCTGCTAACCTATGACACTTCTGTCCCATCCAGCATCCCGACAAACACTAGGACAGCAGTTTCCAAAATGTGGTCCAAGAAATCAACGCCTCAGCTGTTAAGAAAAAGAGTTGCTTTCCCACTATGTATTTTCCCCAGTTCTTTTTACTGTTCCAACTGGTTACCCATGACAGCAGAATGCACTGTAAATCACTGTACACGAACGGAGCACAGCTTCTCATTTCTCTGGCTGAACATGATGTACAGTTACACAGTGATGTACAGGCATACATGTACCTAGGATAATGATGTCCCTCTCATTCCACCATCTTTCCTAGTCCCATTTCCCCTCCTCTCCCCTTTGCCCAACCCAAAGTTCCCCCATTCTTCCCATCCACCCCCACCATTACACATCAGCATCCACATATCAGAGAGAACACTGGCCTTTGGTTTTTAGGGATTGGCTTATTCCCTTAGCATAATATTCTTAACCCCATCCATCTCCCTGAAAATGTCATATTTTTATTCTTTTAATGCTGAGTAATATTCCATTGTTTATATATACTACAGTTTCTCTACCCATTCATCTATTGATGGGCAATCTAGGTTTAGCTATTGTAAATTGGGCTGCTATAAACACTGATGTGGCTGTGACCTTTGGGTATAGACGGAGGAGTAGGCTGACATCTGTGCTGATGTTGCCAAGAAAGGGTGGGGGTAAGTGATGGCAATTTAGCATCAACCAAGACAGGGAACAAGACTAAACTAGTGGTAGTACTCATTGTACTCTTTACCACAAATTCATTGTGTTAATTATTATTATTTTTGTGTGTGTGGTGCTGGGGATTGAACCCAGGGCCTTGTGCATGCAACGAAAGCACTCTATCAACTGAGCCGAATCCCCAGTCCTCATAGTGTTAATTAAGGGGGGAAAAAGGGGGTTTCACTTAAAAATGTAACAAAGAAAAACTAATTTTATTGAATACACATCTTTTTAGTATTCTATGAATCAAAATCATAAATGCACATACAGTGCATACGTGCACACTACCTACCAAAGTTGCATGGAGGTCTTGGGAAACAATCTTGTACAAGAGGACCATCTAAGCTACCTGCTCTTTTTCACAGAAGGCCATTTCTACGTGGAAGAATTACCACGAAGCCAGTGCTTCTTCAAATCAGGATGTTGTGTATGGGTTTCTCAAAAAGCACCGACTGAAGTGAGCTTGCCATTTCAAGAGAAACTGACAAGATTCATTGTGAACAATAAAACTTAAATTTCTAAGTCAGAAACTCAGTCTGGGAAATTTTTATTCTTCACCATGAGCTCGGAAAGTTCCTGATACATTCCCCAAATCTTCTAAAAGCAATCAGTGTTGACGTAAAAGTAGCACCAAAAGCATGAGAACAATGGACCAGTTTCTGTTTGGGTGGATGAAAACATCCTGGAAATGGCTGGTATGGATGGCAAAACAACACTGTGGTTACAACAATAAAATTTATGGTATGTATGTTTTACAATAAAAGTCTTCAAACAGGCAAAATATTGATTAGGTATTTCTCTAAAGTAGTTATGTATGAAGCATATGAAAAGATATTCAGCATTGTTATCTATTAGGATGCAATGCAAATCATAACACTATACAATGATATACCAATTACAACCCCCAGAGGGGCTATAACAAGAGATGAACACTATGTTTTCGTGACAACGTGAAGAAACTGGAATGTCATACATTGTTGTTGGGGATGTGGCACTGCTTTGGAACATACCTGGGCAGTTCCTCAAAAGATTAATGGGTGAGTTGACATGTGATCTAACAAGCTCACTCTAGTAAGTGAACAAATTATATGGTATGTAAATGTTACCACAATTAAAAAGAGCCTGGTGAAGAAGATCATTAGAAGCTACCTGTATAAAACCTTTTTTCCTCCTTTCTCTATTTTGTTTTCAAACGGGGAATGAAGTTTAAAAAGGGAAGGGAAATTTGAGGTTAAACAAGGAGAAATGGCCAAGTACAGTGGTGCAGGCCTATAACCCCAGCTACTCAGAAGCTCAGGCAGGAGCATACCAAGTTCAAGGGCAGCTTGGGCAACTTAGCAAGACTGCTTCAAAATAAAATTTAAAAGATGGGTCTGGGGGAGATGTAGCTTGCCAAAATAGTGCTTGCCTAACACATGTGAAGCCTTGGGTTCCATCTCCACCACTACCACCCAAAATAAACATACACACACACACACACACACACACACACATATATCCAAATGCTTTCTAAAATTTATCTAAAAATTGTATAAGATTTCCCATATTAATTTAACTAATACCAAAGCATACCAAGAAATGTAAAACTGAAATAAGCCTTATACTTTACATTTCAAGTTAAAATTTTTTCTCTTTCTTTGAAGGTTTTTTTTGGGGGGGGGGGCAGGTGGACAACAGGGATTGGACTCAAGGGTACTTAAACACCTAGCCCATTTTATTGAGACAGGGCCTCACTAAATTGCAAGATCCTTGCCTCAGCCTTCCAAGGTACTGGTATTACAAGTGTGTGCGAACAAGGCTCAGCTTTTCTTTATAGTTTAACACACGAAATCCCAAGTTGTCAAATTATGTGAATATTTCAATGAAATCAACACCAGTGTATAAAAACAGGCTGGAGACCATAATCTAGATTTTACACATTTTATTTATATTATTATATCATAATTATTATACTAACAAATTATATACAATATTTGTTTTTATAAGTGCTTCACACCTGGGACCACGGGACAAAATAGGTTAATAACTACCCACTAATTTATAATTATAAAATTTATAGTCACAAAATTTATAATTTTATGAATTCAGATTACCTTATACACAAGGATTCCTTTCCTCCCCTATTCATTTGGTTTAATAATCATGGTATCCAAGAAAGCACACATTAATAGGACAGCCAGATAAGAAGGAAAATTATGAGGGGCTTCAAAGACTATGATTCTAAGTCATGAGACAGGAATTAAGTCCCATAAACTGACAAATTATGTACACATTGTATTTAAACTTTCATAAGTATTAAAGTTAGATCAAAAGGCACAATTAATGTGATACTATGCTATATGCCAATTTTTAAAAGCCTCTAGAACTCGAGGACCCATTTTTTTTGTTGGAGTACAACTATCTGATGAAAACAAAACCAGAAAATGCTTCCCTAAAAAGTATATAGAATTTAGGAAAACAGGTCACTAGGCAATCAACTAAAAATTTGCTAATAAAAATGATTTTCTTAATAATGTTCTCAGTAGAGGAAAAGAGAAAACAAATCTTAGTTTTCAATATTAAAATGAAATTATTCTAAACAGATACTTATGAGATAAATTTTCAACTTCAAATCAATTTCTCTATATAAAATATTCTTCCTAAACAAAACACATTCACAACTTAAATCTACTTTGCTGAAATACCTCAAGAATTTACTGAAACTCATTACCCATTAATTTTTCAAGAAATCCCTCCCTTTGCCTCCTTTTTTGTTTTTTTCTCTTCTAGGAAAGCAAAACTCCTAACACTAATAAATATATCTTCCGGCTGAACACCATACCGAGCTCTTCTTTTCTTCTCCACAAGAACTCATAAGTCTATATTAAACATGTTTCCCTAACAATTCTCTAGAGATTAAGATATATTTCAAAGGCTCCAGGACAGACGGATCTATCTTTTCTTCCCCCAGCTGATTCTACACTGTAGTGGCCAGTGGCCACAACATTAACTTACTGTCTCTAGACTGTTTCAATCTATTAAGATTATTTTCTGGGCTGGGAATGTAGTGCAGTGGCATAGCACCTACCTAACCTGAAGAAGCACCTGGGTTCAAGCCCTACCACCACCTCAAAATTAAACAGCCAAGACAAGTAAATCTCTGCAATCAGCCCAACTGCATTCCACACAGAACTGAAGGGAGGCTAAAGTGAGAGCAAGCAGGAGACCAGGAAAAGTCCTACTACCAGTTAATACTCCAAAGTATAGTGAATACTGCACCATCTGTAAACAAGGAAGGGGAATAGGAGAATGAGTGAAAAAAGAGAAATCTGCAGGAGCTGATCACTCATGAAAGGGGACAAGACTTACAAAATAATCTCTAAAAGGAAGAGATTTGAATTAGGAGACATACAACATCAGAGAATTCAGACTAAAAATTATGGCTGAGGCGAGCAAATTTCAAAAATTTAATCTGAACACTGGAT